AAAATTAATCTCAAACAACACAATTTCATTAAAGTATTATATTTCTATGCTAAATATACAATATGTTGAAAAAATAATGATAATTTCTAGACAAAATACATATCCATGTGTATAATCGGGTGGGTTCGGGTCGGATAGTGAGAAAACCATACCCTCTCATTGTCCGTAATATTCGGGTTCGGGTTTTACCCGTACCCACTGAAAATTGTTCGGGTTCGAGTTTTACCCTACCCGATTAGGTCGAATTCAGGCGGATATCCACAATTTTGGATATTTTTCCCATCCCTAACCACAGGACCAATCCCTTATTCGCAACATTCTAAATCATTAAGAAAGAAAATAAATTTGAAATGCAGGTTTTACTACATCTAATGCATTATTTTGTATAGTTAAAATGCAATAAATATATTCGAAACTTTCCAATATTGAAGAGAAGCGAAGTAGAACGAAGGTTATAATAGCACATGACATACAAAGATAAGACTCATGTTCCGCTACGTACTATTTGCAAAACAAATAATACCCTCTCAGAATAGTTCGGATTAAATAAGATCATGTTAATCGGACCAAACCTGCCATCATCAGACATTTTCGTTTTGTGTATATGTTCATAATTTCCTTAGTGAAAAGTCACCATAACATGCTTACAATCGATTAAGCATTTGATGCTCTTCATTATTGGAAAGAATTTTCTTGGCTGGTAATGTATACCTTTGGTACAATCGTACTATAACTACAACTATTGATTTTGAATTCTAACATGGAGGGGAAAAGAGGGAGACAAAGGAATTTGTTTGAGGAGGATTGTGGTTGTATTTGATGCTCCCCTATAATTTGGGGGATTCATTTTAAGCAATGAGAATCTGTGGATTAAAATTTGTCAAATTTCACATTTCATACATACATTTTGAAGTCCTCAAAGTTCTCAATTCAGATACCTTCGCCCAAGGTCTGGACTTGATGAAGAAAACATGCGCCACACACTTGTAGGTCGATCCATAACAAAGTTTTTGGGTTGGAGGTCGCACGATATTGTTTTTTTTTTTTCATTTGTGAAATGTGTCTATTTTTCAGTTTTCCTATCACCTAACACTATTTTTGGAATTCTAAGTTAAACATTTAAATATTGATATAATTTTTTACGTTAGATGAGATTTTATATAATTTTTTAATGTCTGAACAATATAATGAGTTTTCATATATCTAAACTAAACCGAATTAAAGCGATCAAACTATTAATTCTCTAACTCACTTACTCTTTCGGGACAATAGGCTAAACCGAGTTGACAACCTGGTTTCGGCACAGTACTCATCCCTACTTTACAAATTATGCTCTAAAAGTTGAAAAACTTACTCAATCAATTCTAATAAATTAACCTAATGATATGAAAATGATAATGTTTACCCGTAGAGTAGGTTCAAACGATATGGCAATTATCATCCTTGTAATGAGAAAGTATTTGTTTCATTGAACGCGAATTAAAGGACTAGGGTCACCAACATAACACGAGTCATGATAGAAAATACATTCTAGAAAAAACTAAGGTTCGTTTGGATTGAGTATTTGGCAAATTTATTGTTTGGAGTCAATTACCATACGAATATCACTTAATATAAAACTTGTTATTTGGTATGCGATATTTGGTCTTAAACCTGTTATTTGACAAATACCTGCCTCTCCCAAGTATTTGGCTAACAACACTTTTTGTATTATTTGGTCTCAAACTTATTTCGCAAAACACCACATCCAAATAACACATTCCATTTTTTGTGAGGCAAACATGTTAATTGGGGTCAAATAACACATTTTGTGTTATTTGACCCCAAATAACTCCCCAAATACTCAATCCAAAAGAAGAGTTTACAAATGGAACTACTAGTGATGAACAATTAATGAGTTAATCCATCCAAATGACTCATTTTGTGTTATTTAAACAATGCATTAATTTATAATACTAGATTTCTGTAATGACACAATTTTACACAATTGCCTCTTATTACAAAAACGAATTCTTTAGGAGTTGTTTAGTTTTAGATTTCTGTAATGACACAATTTTACTCAATTGCCTCTTCACAATACTTGCTTCGTGCCAAAACCAATCAAAAGTGAGAGAGTTTTGTATCCCCATTTTGTGTCACCAAATTGCATCGTCCAAACAATCTACTAAGGGACCATTTGCTTTGTGTATTTACAAAATGATTCATTTTGTCAAATATAGACATTTGACAAAATAGAGAATGTAGACATTTTCGACTGTGATTTTATTAAAATGTTTTATGTGAGTTATTTGTATAATGTTATTATTTTGTTCTTTCATGTAATATGTTTCATTTTCTTGTTTGTTATCATAATAAAAACAAATACGAAAAAAAAAATTCATTTTGCAACCAACATGTAACATATTATTTAGTTACTAGTTATATATAATTCTAATTTTTTATTTATAACAATAATTTATGTCAACTTTATTTACAAGTTGGAATGGTTCCGAAGTATATCATTTTACAACCAAACATAACTTATATTTGATACTCATCTCCAAAATAGTAAATATTATTTTACCAAAAAAATATATTTGAAAGCTTTTATTGAAAAAGAATTGTAAAGTAAGTAAGAATTTATGGACACAAAATAAAAAGAGTTGGTTTTGCATTTCTTAATAAAGAGGAAGGTTAAAATAGAAAATTAACGACAATGGTTTCATGTTCTTTCATCGATTGGTTATTTCTCTCCGTTCGTATCTCTTTTCCCAAGAAAAATGAGTCGTTCGAATTTTTTGTTGAAACCAAATATCTCATTTTTAATTTTCATAGGAAAACGAGTAATTTGGATCATTTCTATCTTTCATTGCCTAAAAGCAATGGTTCCATGAAGCCAAAGTAGCTCATAGAAGGTAAAGTAGGTAATGTGTCTTCCATATGGCAGTTTATCGATGTAATTTTTGACAATTTTTTACTATAGAGATATTGAAAGTCATCATCAAGACTCGAACCTGCGACCACGAAAGTCAAGAAAAAGCTAAGTGGATTGACGTCGTTTAGATGAAGTTATCAATCCTCAAGTTTAGTTTTATTATCAACGTCTAGGTTTAGATGTTAGTCCAGTTATGTTTTTATCTTTGTAGTTGTTCTCCATATGCAAGGCCACACACCTTGTCTAGTTTGTAGTAGGGGTGGTAATCGATCGGTAACCGGTTAAACCGGTTATCATTTGACCGGTTACCGGTATACTGGAAATCTCATTATCATTGTCGTTTTCCGATACTGAGTATATTCTGGTAAACCGATTACCGATTGGGACAATATCGATTTTAGCGTCGGTATCCCGATTTATCACAAAGTAATTTTGGTATACGGAACGCAGAGCTATCCTTCCGCCCCCTCCACTGCCAAAGACCTCTTCGACTTCCAATCCTCCGACCTCCAATACTCTGACCTCTTCGACTTCCATCACGATACACCTTCCTCAAGCCCTCAATCTCTGGGCCTGCAACCATGACCTCAACCTCTTTGCAAGATTTGCATGGTGGATTTGGGGGTGCGGGGGATTTTTGGGCTGAAGTGGATGTTGGAGTTCTTGAAGATATGAAGGATATTAGATTTTTTGGGGAGATAAATCTAGTGAAGGAGATAGATTTGGCATTTCCGTCACTGCCGTCTTCAGAGAGATAAATCGGGGAGGTAAATCGCAGTCAATCGGGGAGAGATATCTCGCATCTCAGTCATCGCCATCATCGTCTACCTGATCTCTAGCTTCGACATAGGTCTGCGCTCCCGCCACTGCTACATGTCGTCGCCGTGTTCCTAATCGCATGCAGAATGAGGCAAATCAGACAATGACAACAGAGAGCTAGAGGATGGGGGAGGAATCAACCGACATTGAAGTTTGAAGACTGATTGCAATCGCCTTCGACCAGCAGCCAGCGGCGACACACTAATTTGATGGTGACTGGTGACTGGTTCGTGGTGGAAGGACTGTTGGACTAGTGTGGTGGATTGATGAGAAGAGGTGGAGAGAATCGAATATGGAGACATAGACTTCGCGCGGCGTGAGGCACATGAAGAAAAGAACGAAATAATATTTAGGGCTGTGTGGATTTCGCTAACCCGGTATACCGGAATACCGCTGGTATTATACCGGGAATGGAATAGTATACCGTTTGGCTAAAATTGGCTACCGTATACCGGTACCGCCGGTTATCGATTTTATCGTTAACCATCGGTTACCGGTTCTGTAAACGTTTAATACGATAACCGTTAAACCGATTACCAGCCCTAGTTTGTAGTACCATCCTCTACCTATTTTAACCAAACGATGAATGGGAAACACCCAAAATTCTCGGATTTCATTTTCTCCCCCATAAAACTTTCAATCATATCACGGCCTAATTCTAACCACCGCCCAAGCAAAATAAGGCCATTGTCCCATTTCATCTAGCCGGATCTATGAACATTTCACTTGTTCTTGATACCATCACTAGTTCGTCCATTTCCTTTTACCATTCTTCACTGGCTAAATTATACGTTTGGTCACTATAATTGTACAAATCTTTCACTTTTACCACCCGAATTATTTTTCGTTCTTATTCGCCACTAACTTTACGAATCGTTTCATCGTTAGTCACCGCCCGTTACACTCCGTTAAATTTGTCCTATGTGGCAGTCAACTATAAAGTTTGACTGTTAACAAGATGACATGGAAATTAAAAAAATTAAATTTGTTTTTCCAGTTCATCATTCCACTTACTTTATCTATATGATTTATCATATTAACTATTTAATAAAAATTAATTAACTTAAAAAAGTTAATTATTAGCAACGTTGTGGAGGAGGATCATCCCGTCTGCGACTGTGATCGGCAATATCCACAAACAGGAACATGTCCCCTTTGAGAGGTACATGGATCTCTTGGCGGAGCTTCGATCGGGAGTGCGCGACTCAACAAGCAACAGAGGATTCGAAAAAAGAGGCAGTGGAGAAGAGCGTTGGATGGGAACCCGAAGAACCTAGCAACAACTCCATCGGGAGGGACCACCGCGCTCCAATTGTCGGCGAAGAAGCTAGATGAAAGGGGAACGAGTTTTATGACGCTGACGAAAGCCACGACAAACGAATTGGGGGGAGTGGGGGATGAAGCGGATTCTGAGCCAGCCGCGTGAAGCGGATAGGTAGAACTCGGATATGAGCGGGTTGTCGGCGGTGGAATCCGCTTGCAAGGGGCAGGGCGTTGCAAGAAACTGGGTTCAAGCTTGCGCCAATTTCTACAGAGGCGACGATTCCTCTGGCACAATGGGTAACCAATTTGAATAGTATCCCTGATTCCCAGGTTCAATTGCCATATCAATTTCAAAACCCAAGTTTCAAAAATCCCCAAATTCTGGGATTCCGTTGATCAATTTTTTCCCTTTACGTTCTTTTCAGGGGGAGCTTGCAGTTATAGAAACCTTTACAGTCAAGGCTATGGCTTCAAGACGGTGGCACTAAGCACAACTTTGTTCAATAATGGCAGAATCCACTTCATCCCCCACTCCCCGATTCGTCCGTCGTGGCTTTCGTCATCGCCATCAAACTCCTTCCTCTCTCATCCAGATTCTTCACCGACAATCGGAGCGTGACGGTCCCCCCCCCCCCCCCCCCCGCGACGCTGCAGCTGGGTTCTTCAGGTTCCCATCCAACGTTCTTCTCCACTGCCTCTTCTTTCGAATGCTTCGCTGCTTGTCGAGTCGCGCGCTCCCGATCGAAGCTCCGCCAAGAGATCCTTGTACCTCTCAAAAGGGACATGTTCCGGTTTGTGAATATTGTTGATCATAGTCGCAGACGGGATGATCCTCTTCCTCAATGTTGCTAATAATTAACTTTTTAAGTTAATTAATTTTTATTAAATATTTAATATGATAAATCATATATATAAAGTAAGTGGAATGATGATGTGGAATTTCTTTTTAATTTTTTTTAATTTCCACATCGTCTAGTTAACGGTCAAACTTTATAGTTGACTGCCACATAGGACAATTTTAACGGAGTGTAACGGCCGGTGACTAACGGTGAAACGATTCAAAAAGTTTGTGGCGAACAATTTCAAATTCATATCATCACCAAAATATATAATAAATCATTCAAACCGTCTCACAAAAGAAATCCTAATTTTTTTAATTCAAATTAAATTACGGTATCAATTGGTAGTAGACAACGTAAAGCGACAACCAGGTTGGAGAATGAGAAGAGGAAGCAGAGATAAAATTAATAATAATGGTTTTATGGTCTTAGTTTACGTCAATTTTTTTTAATATATTTTTGCTAAAATAGTGAACCAGTGGACCAGATAAACCGTGGTGGTTCATCTGGTTTTATGTTGAGCCGTGAAAACCCTTTTGGTCCATCAGTAACCGTCCAAACAATGAACCAGACCGTTATCATCACTGGTTTGGTGATTCTACTGGCACGACCGTTGATCCGGTTCAGTTCTTATAACAATGCTTTCATCTTTGTATCTCGCCTCTACAATCTCATCCCAAACCTGCAGAACTAAAATCTAAATCTAAAATCTAAATCTAAACATGAACAATAAAACTAAACTTAGCAATTGATAATTTTCTTTAAACAATGTCGATCCACTTACTTTTTCCTTGAATTTTGTTGTAATGTAACTCATTTCTAGATGCCTCGTAAGATGACTCATTTTGCAGAGCAGAGTCTATCAAATACTGATGACAATTTGTTTACACCTAAAAAATAATCTTGTACCACATTGATTATTTACAAGGCATTTATTATCTTTATAAGGCCAGATTATTAATGACAATTAATTTATTTGAACTGGGCCTCATGATAATAATTTTAATCCAAACTACCAAGTCTCCAAGAAGGAGCTAGTCTCGTCGCGAGTTGAAGAGCCCGACGTGGTCATGAGATCTAGACCACGTGGGCTTCAAATCTAGAGCCTAGCGTGGTCATGAGATCTAGACCACGTTGGCATCAAATCTAGAGCTCGACGTGGTCATGAGATCTAGACCACGTTGGCTTCAAATTTAGAGCTCGACGTGGTCATGAGATCTAGACAACGTTGGCTTCAAATCTAGAGCTCGATGTGGTCATGAGATCTAGACCATGTTGGCTTCAAATCTAGAGCTCGACGTGGTCATGAGAACTAGACACGTTGGCGTCAAACTTAGAGCTCTACGTGGTCACGAGATCTAGACCACGTTGGCGTCAAATTTAGAGCCCGACGTGGTCATGAGATCTAGACCATGTCGGCATCAAATCTAGAGCTCTACATGGTCATGAGATCTAGACCACGTTGGCTTCAAACTTAGAGCTCGACGTGGTCGCGAGATCTAGACCGCATTGGCATCAAATCTAGAGCTCTACGTGGTCATGAGATCTAGACCATGTCGACATCAAATCTAGAGCTCTACGTGGTCATGAGATCTAGACCACGTTGGCTTCAAACTTAGAGCTCGACGTGGTCGCGAGATCTAGACCGCATTGGCATCAAATCTAGAGCTCTACGTGGTCATGAGATCTAGACCATGTCGGCATCAAATCTAGAGCTCTACGTGGTCATGAGATCTAGATCACGTTGGCTTCAAATTTAGAGCCCGACGTGGTCGCGAGATCTAGACTACATCGTGAGACCATGTCCAAGATCTGAGCTAACAAGTTGGAAGTAAGAAGGCAAGTCATGTGGGAGAGGCGAGTAACAAGACGACAGTTACAGGATGAAGAGCAGACGGTTAACGGAGAAACTGCCGAGTATCCCACGTGCAATGACACGTCAACCACATCCGAAAAAGAAGGAGAGCAGTTCCTTTTGGAAGTTACTCTAAGACAGTTTCTACAACGGTTATCATCTCAAGGCCTATAAATAGGAGGAGGAGTTGACAGAGGGAAGGTCCCGAAAATCACCACCTGACATCACTTGTCAAGTTTTATCAATTTTTATCTTTCCTCTGCAACTTTTATCAGTAGTCGTAGATTTGGAGCTCTCTCAGAACCTCCATAGGAGTAGGAGTAACTTAATGTAGATCTGTCTCGAGAGTCGTGTAAACATCGATCACCCTTGTTCGAACTGTGTTTGAAGAGGTATGAACTGTGTTAAGTTAATCGTTGTTCGAAGAAGTCAAGGTGCATTCAATTCGTTTCAACGCAAGTTTTCTCGCCGGAGAACACAATTTAACCTGTTCCGTGTGTATTACTCGAACTGACCTGCATTGGAACGGATATTACCTGATCCATAGTAGCGTGGCGCGGGGTATGTGTATCTATTTCTGACCCGCCCTATTCTTGGCCAACTTTACCTCAAATAATTATATCTATTCATATTCATCATATTTTAATTTTTTTCCAACTAGTTAGACTTCATTACCCGTTTTGTTATCACTATTTTCATTCGTAAAGTCTTTTTCCCATTGTGTTAATGGAAAAAGTAAAAAATTTTGTGTATTTTTTCTTATAACATATAGGAGTGAGTTGACCCACCCCACTCCACAATAACATGAGACGGAATATTTGAGGTATCCGTCCCACCACATTGGCATCACTACTATCATTCATTCTAGCACAACCCAAATGCAAATCCCGAAGTTCAAGCTAAAAAGAAGTTCGAGTTTGAGCCCATTTATTTGGGACCAGGCCCGCAAATTCTCTCACCGAACTGGACTTACGTATCTCCGTGGCTTTAATCACCCCCTCCGCACCGCAGCCGCAGAAGCTCAAACAATAAAGAAAAACGAAAATTTACCTTTCCCACATTTTCCTTTCCAATTCCCATCCAAGCCAAACACCCCCTCTAGCCCAGCCTCTCCCTCAGCTTCTTCTTCTCGCTCTTCTATCTGCGTGTTAATCTGCAAACTCTCCGTTTTCGATTTTGCTTCCTTCGCGGTTTTTCCCGTGTTGGTCTGCGCGCTGCTCCGGCAAGCAATCAGCTATGTTCTCCGGTTTGGATTGCTAGGATTTCCTCCTCCCGATTGATAAAAGAGGCGTTCGATAGTCATTGGAAAATGAACTCCGCCGCGAACGGAGATGGCGAATTGGATGAGAAACCGATTAATATGGAAGAGGACGAACGGCGGGAAGAAGCAGGAGCGGCGGGTAGGGTTTCGGAAACGGACGGTGCGGCCGGAGCATCGGGCACGGAGGATAGTGCTAGGGTTTTAGAGGGCGAAGGATCTGAGCTTCGAGTTCGTGATGGGGTAGACAGTGAAATGGTGCAAGAGTCTAGGGTTTTAGAGGTGAAGAACGAGAGAAATGAGGGGTTGAATGACGACTCGGGCGCTCCAGACGATTCAGAGGTGGACGAGGAGGAGGAGGAGGAGGAAGAAGAAGAAGATCAGCAGACGGAGAATTCATCGGCCGGCGAGGGGAAAGGTGAGGTTTACACGTCCTTGTTGTCTGAATTCGAAGCTTTCGTTGCTAATGAGAAGAATGGCGCCATGCTTGGGACGTCTAGGGCACTGAGTTTCGGATTCGATGTGGGTGATATGGTGTGGGGGAAAGTGAAGTCGCATCCATGGTGGCCAGGCCACATTTTCAATGAAGCTTTTGCAACATCCTCTGTACGCCGCACGAGGAGGGAAGGCCATGTTCTCGTTGCATTCTTTGGGGATAGCAGCTATGGCTGGTTCGATCCAGCTGAGCTCATCCCGTTTGAGCCTCATTTGGCTGAGAAATCGCAGCAAACAAGCTCAAGAACCTTTACAAAAGCAGTAGAAGAGGCGGTAGATGAGGCGAGTCGTAGGTGTGGGCTTGCTCTGGTTTGTAGGTGTAGAAATAAGTGTAATTTTAGGTCAACCAACATTTCGGGTTATTTTGAAGTTGATGTACCAGACTATGAGGCAAATGCAGTGTACTCTGCAGCTCAGATTCAGAAGGCAAGAGATGGGTTTAAGCCGAGCGTTACACTTGCCTTCCTCAAGAGATTGGCTCGTGATCCAGTTGGTGGTGATCCACTATCTATTGATTACATTGGCAACAAAGCTACTGCTGTCTCTTTGAGGAGAACCTTGTTTGAAGAGTTTGATGAGACATATGGGCAGGCATTTGGAGCTCCGCATGCTCGGGGTTCTGATGAAGCGCGCAAAGTGTTGGATCATCCTGTTAAAGGGCGAACTCGGGGTATTATTTCTCTTTCACTTCATGTCTATTGCAAGAGTTTTGGTTATGTATCAGCGATGAATGCTTATACTGTAAGTGATACTTGCAGGATGTTTCATTTGCTTCTCTGTTTTGCGATGCATTATTCTATTGATATTTTCTTCTTTGCTAAAGCTGTCATCGCTTTGTACAATTATCTGCACTTCGCTGTTAGATTGTGTTGGTGCTTCTGTTAGTGATGAATGTATTTGGCTCATATGTGAAAGTTTGCCCGGCTGAAACTTTTCATGATGCTTGATCTATGTGCGAATTACTCATAAATGGTAGAATGCATACTTGCTCAAGTAAGAAGCAATAGGAGGGAGACAACAGGATATGTAACTGAGAAAGTTCAAGCTACTTTGCTGTATGTGAATTATCTTTCTGGTTTTATCTCATTGTTTTCTCCTTCTCCAGCTCCTTTGAGCGGTCCACTGGTGATAGCTGAAGCTCTAAGTGGTGGAAATAAGAGCTCCAA